GGTAAGCCCGTACCCGGGCGGAGGCCTTCTCACTGTGCGTTTCAGCTGTGTAACTATTGCAGCCAGTAGACCCAAAAGTGTAACGACTCACGTGGTAGGAATTAGTTCATCTTCCATGAAACAGGTGAAGCTGATTCCAGCTCAGCAGGGAGGTGCTTTAAAATACTGTGTATTAATTCTAAAATGTGAGGGAGCAGATCAGGAGACGCCTTCCATTGAAGAGATATTTCATCACAGTTCCCAGGAGGAGGGGGCATGCATGCCACCCACCAGGGCCACGTAGGGAAGCACCAGAGACAGGAGGAGATGGAGTGAGGGGAAAATGGGAGCCTTTACTCTGGTTTCCACAAGAAGGAATGGGCAGGAAAGGGTAAGCAGGCATGGGATTGGCTGGATTAATGATTTCAGCGGGTTCTGGGGTGGAGGGGGCGTCCCTAGTTGTCATGTGCTTGGCCCTAGCGTGACAAGGGCAGGTGGATCGTGGCCCAGACTCTGGACCCCCATAAAGGAGGGGGTGCAGTGTGGACTCTGGGTTGACTGGTTTGTATTTTATAAGTGCACCCCAGGAAGAGGATTCTTGGTCAGGAGCTGGGGCAGGGTGGGGGGCAGTGAGGGAGGAGGCGGGAGGACAATGTAAGTGACTCAGGCATATTATTGGGTCATCTAGGAAAAGGTGTGTCCAGTGTCGACCTTAAAATTAAATGTTATTTTACTGGCAAAATGAGTTTATTTAGGAATGGCAGAGGAATTGCGATTCAGGACATTCAAACTATGGCAAACCACAGTCAAGTCCAGAGAACAAGGAAGAGGAATGTTACTTTACAGAGAAAAAGGAGGAAGCTGGAAGGGGCTGCTTTGACTGAAAGTCCCTTGGAGAAAACCAAGAGGTCAGGGTGGTGGTGGTTTCTCATTGGCTGGGCTTTGCTGTTTCTCCTTGGCTAGGTTGTGACTGTTTCTCATTGGCTGGGCTGAGGCTGTTTTCTCATTGGCTGAGTTGTTGCTGTTTCTCATTAGCTGAGCTGGTGCTGTTTCTCATTGGCTAGGTTGTGACTGTTTCTCATTGGCTAGCCTGTTGCTCTTTTCATTGGCTGGGCTATTGCTGGGCAAGGAGAAAATCATCTTTCTTCTGAAAATCAAGCTTCTTCCTGCCCAGGAATGTAAAGTAAGCTGCAGCAGAGGGTAGGGGTGAGAGAGCTCCCCTTTAGGGCTTCCCAACTCCGTTTTAAATTAGGTTTCCCTTTATTAATTTTCACACTAGCATATGCACGTATGACACATATTAAAGCATCAACTTTATAGAAACCTGAACTATGACTAATACAAGGGGTACAGCAGGCTCTATTCTATGGGGTCATCCTGGGAACCAGGTGCCACACTCAGCGTGTGGGTCCATGGTCACCCAGGGCATCCACATCCATCAGCAGAAGGGAAGAGCCGTGAGGATCTTGTGTGGCAGGTTCATGGGCCAGGCTTGGAAGAAGCTCCGTCCATCCAGCTCACATGCCACTGTGAACTTCATCCCAGGACACACATAACTGCAGGGAGGCTGGGGAGATCATCTCGCTGGGAGCCCAGGAAGGGAGGACACGGTGCTGGTGAGCAGCCACAGTCCTGTCGCACAGGGACCACCTGTCTGTCACTTTGAGCACCGGGTGGGGGTGGGGGAGTTAACGGGTTGTGGGGTGCGTTTCCAGTCTCCACTGCTTCCTCCCCGACCTCCTCTTACGTAGAGGTTCTAGGGACACAAGAAATAGACTCTCAAACATTGATCATTTCACAAGCTAGTGGAAGAAGGAAACATTCCTGCAAGGAGGTACTTAGAATTCAGAGTGAGGCATTCAAGCCCAGAGGAGCCCACAAGCGGAGGTGGTGCTGAGGCCCAACACCCACTCAGGTAGACAGAATAACAGCCCCAAAGATGTCCGCATCCGACGCCCTGGAGCCAACTGCTGTGTTACCTTAGGTGCAAAAAGGGTCTTTGCAGGTGTGATTGAGTTAAGGATCTCGGGGGGGGGGTGGGGGGGGGGGAATGAGCTTGTATGTTCCAGGTGGACCCAATGTAATCACCACGGTCTTTGTAAGAGGGAGGAGGCAGGTGAGAGAGAGGGAAGGAGGTGCGACCACAGAAGCAGGGGTCCTAGTCAGAGGGAGGATTTGCAGAGGCTACAGTTCTCCTTGAAGTTGGAGGAAGGGGCCCCGAGCCAAGGAATGCAGACGGCCCCCAGACGCTGCTAAAGGTAAAGGAATGGGTTCTGCCCTGGAGCCTTCAGAAGGAGCGCAGCCCTGCTGACCCCTGATTTTAGCCCAGTTTAACTGATGTTAGCCTCTGAGCTCCTGAACTGTAGGATAATAAGTTGTGTTGTTTGGTGCCCCTATGTGAGGGGTTCGTTACAGCAGCAACTGCAAGCTTGTTGGGATGAACAGCCTCCAATCCCAAACCTGAAGGGCATTAGCCAGGTGACGGGGTGAAGGTCAGATCAAGGACAGTGTCCTACAGCTGATGGGTCCTCTTGTGTTTGGAGAATGCATGGCGTCCAGTGGGGATGAACTGAAGTAGGGGTGGGAAATGGGGACCTGCGTGTTCCTCTGGGTGGACCTAAAGCCCGAGGGACCCTCCGTGTGCAGTCGTGGTCTCATCAACTCCCTCGCCCACTCCACACGTGTCCGTGCGTGTGGGTGTGTGCATGTGTGTGTGTGTATGCGAGCATTCGTGGGTTGTGCACATGGCGGGGGGGATGGGAGCTGTATCAGGTGGGGCAGGCCTGCGCCTTCACCCAGACACAAGTCCCCTCAGACATCTCCCTCTCTCATCCCTGAGACACACTTGAATCAGAAAACACGGATGCCCTTTTTGTCGTTTCCCTCACTAAGTTTTGAGTGACTGTGGAGGCAGAGACTGAGACCTAGAACCTGTGTACCCCAGCGCCACACGCAGGGCTGATGCAGTTGGGCCTGTGAGGACATTTATTGATGAACAAGGCGAAGCATGATCCAGAAAACAGGGTATCAGCACTGAGCTGCATAAGTATAGCCCAGAGTCAGGATCAACACCTGAACTCTAGGAAGGCTTGTACAATCAGCTGAGAAAACAAAACAGATCTTTGGGGGCAGGGGAGGATTCACAGAACATATCTGGAATCAGCTGGGTGACTGTAGGACCATAGCTGGGTCTCTAGAAACAGCCAAGAGACTGCAGCTGGGTCTCTGGAAACAGCCAAGCACTATAGCTGGGTCTCTGGAAACAGCCAAGGGACCACAGCTGGGTCTCTGAAACAAGTGCTACACGTCCTCTCCAAGGAGCTAGTTGATTGTGGGAGGGGCCACATGGTGAATGAATCTCCTAGAAGTTGATTGGGGGTCTCAGGACTCCAGCTCTTGCCAGCAGGAGAATTGACCGGATGACTTCAGGAAGGGCCGATTCCACAGGGAAACCTTCCAAATGTCCACTGCAGGCTTTTGCAAGAGTGCCCTCCTGTGTCTTTAGTGCAGAGGCCAGGTGGGCCTGGGGTCAGTTTCTGGCAAGGGCTGCATACATGCTGGACTTGGCTGTGGGCTCTGTGGACAGTGTGGACACAGCTCTGCCCACCCTCTGTGTGAGGGCCGGGTGGTCCAGCTGGGCATATATCACCTCCTGGGGACCTCCTGCAGCAGAGGCCTGAGGAGAGAGACTCAGGGTGAGTATGGGTGGCTGAGGTGAGGGAGGGGCTGTGGGAGGGGAAGACTTTGGTCGCCAGACGCCAGGTGCCCCCGCACATCCCACCTCCTGAGTCGCCGTTGTGTAGTCCCCTCCCGTAGAGAAGCAGGGTTGGTCTGTGTGACCAATAGAATATGGCAGAGTGAGGGCCACCTGCAGGGGAGGCCACAGAGGACAGTGTGCCTTCTGTTCCTCCCTCTTTGGGGTCCTCCCGCTGGAGGAGGCCGGCCGCCATGGAGAAGCCCGTGTGGTGGGGAAATGGGGCTCCTCCCCACAGCCAGGGGACTGAGCCATCGTGGAAGTGGATCTTCCAGCCTCAGTTGAGCCTCCGATGAATGCAGCCCTGGTTGGCATCTTGACAGCGACATCAGGACAGACCATGAGCCACCACCGCCCAGCTGGTCCGATTCCTAATTCCTGGCCCAGGAAACTGAGATGGTTTTGTTAAGCTGCTAATTTCAGGGGCTTGGGTACCCAGCAGGAGGTGACTAGCACGAGCGCTTACTGAGGTGTCCACTTCCCCACTCTTCTCAGGAAGTCTGTCGACAGTGGCCAGATCTGGCAGGGAGAGGACAAGGGGTCAGTTCTCTGGGGTGGACCTTAGGAGGCAAATACGTCTGACCTCATAGCTTCATATTTGGCCTCCCACCCCATCTGGAACATTCTAGAATGCTCCCGAACGCCCCCGACCACATTGCTTCCTGATGGCACTGAATCCCCACTTCCCCGCTCCCAGACCTGTCCCCCATCCTTGTCTTTACCTGGTGTCCCATCTGCGACGTCAACAGCTGGGCTGAGCCTGAGGGGAAAGAACACGTGAGCCCTCGGGGCTGCCTGGGGGCAGGGGGTTGGGGGCCCGGGGGTCACTCCCAGGAGCCTCACCTCTCCTGGGGCCTCTGCTCCTCACCTTTGCTTCTTGGGGGCCCTGGGGACAGTCGGGTGTGAATTCAGAAGAGAAGCCTTCTTCCCAGCACCCCGCCCGGGTCACCCCACCCTGTCCCTGAGACCTACCCCGTGTTCTCTCGTGCCGACGATGGAGGAGGAAAAGGCCCAGGAGAAGGAGACAAAGGAGAAAGGCCACAGGGACCCCAATGAGAATATAAAGATGCTCTGTCGGCAGGCCTGCGGGAGGTGGGAGGGTGGAATCCGATTACCAGCAGCATGCATTTATCGAGCACCGGCAGCATGCCCATCACGCGCTGGGCGCTTGTCGTGTCCCCACTTACACGTAAATCTCTTATGCCCAATAGTCCTGTGACATGATCTCCACTTTACAAAACCGGGTCTGAGCGCTGGAGTCCTCTGTCCACAGGGCACTGGTCAAACTGGGATATGACCGGCACCAAAGCCCCTTCTTTCCCCCTTTCCCCAAAGAGCACCACCGGGCTCGTGCTTCTGTGTCCCCCTCGCCCATCAGGACGGTCATTGTCCTGCGGATGCGTCTGTGTCTCCGAGGAGTGGGGAGGGTCTGGGTCAGAGGCCTGATCTGGACAGAGAAGCTTCTGAGTCCCCCATCCCCACCTCCAAGGGGTCTCCTCCCCGGACCCCGACCTGCTCCCTCTGGAACAGCCCCATGGACCTTTCTGTGAGGATGGTTACCACCACGGTAGTCACGCGGGACAATTTTCACTGAAATTTAGGTTAACTAAACTTAAAAGTCAGATCGCCAGCTGCACTAGCCACTGCGCTACCCCTGGCTAATGACACCCTCCCGGGATGACGCAGATACACAGCATCTCCTTCCTGCAGGAGGCTGCGTGGGACAGCGCTGCTCTCTGTGCTTTGTGCACCTTTACAGAGACGATAACCCAGTAGGAATCGAGAGCGGGAACCTCTGCCTGCTCACCTCCTTCTGGGTTCCCACCCCAAACACAAGAATCCCCATCTCTGATCTCTTCTGTTTTTCGCAGCAATCCCTGATGGGGCGGAAACGCTCTTCTGCGAGTGAAGAAGCCAAGACCCGATGTCCTCGAGCTGCCTGAAGCCCAGCCTTTAGCAGGTGAGAGGATGCAGCACCCGCCATGAGCTGCACTCCACGCATGCGCCTTTTGTCCATCACCTCCTTTACATCTCCTAAGTGCTGTGCTCAGTATGGCTCATTTTACAGGTGGTCCAGCTGAGGTCTTGGGGGCTGGTACACCCACAAGGTCGGAGCGCTTCATCCCCTCTTCTGGTCAGCGCCCCCTCCCTCCCACTGCTCCAGAGGTTGAGTCCTCAACATCCTTTAAAATAGAAAATTTCATTTCTTGGAGCATCCTTTCCTCAACACTTGTGTCCTTGGTCCAGGATCCACGACCCCATCCTGCGTTTTAACGCCATTGCTGCTTGAGCTTCCCCTGATGACATTTACTACGATTTAGAATAGCATGTATGTTATACACGTACAAATAATATATAGCAATATGTTTACATCTATAATGTATATTACATATTATATAAATTTAATGCTTAAATAGTAAATATAAATATGTTTTAAATTATGTGTTTTTAACTTACATATGTATAATTTAATTTATATGAATAATTTAAATTATACATAATTATTCTATACATAAAATATATCAATTATACATATTTAATATATATTATGGTACACATTTTAATATTTACATATACAGATTATAGTAATACATAATACATGATAACATAATATATACCACACATTACTCATGTAACAATATAGTAATGTATATTATATTGTATTATATATTTAATAGTGTAACTGTATTCTAATTTACTTAAATTATAGATCTGAAACTTTACATTGTAAGTTATATGTGTATATTTTTATATGCCCATATATACTTACATACATCCCTATTATTCATTCTAATGAATTCTCCCGCTAAAGTTTGGGAAGCCAGGGACCCTTTCTCCTCACTCACCACGTACATCAGTCCCACGGCAGGAGGGTGTCTGGTGCACACGCGGTGAGAAGAAAATATTTCCTCGGTATTAATAAGATTAGCACTTCTCCAGGTTGTCCCATTTGGCAGCATATTTAAGCGGGTGTCCTGTGTACGTGAACTCCTGTGTCCCCTAAGCAGCACGGTGGGGTCGGTGCCCCAGGAGGGTGCGGAGGGGGTCAAAGTGTCCCCAATGGGCGCTGACTCCAGGACATCCTGGGGGCTGACTGCACACAGGGACAGGGACAGCCTCATCCCAGAGGTCCCCCAAAGCACCATCCAGCCCTGGTCAGGGGTCTAGGACCATGTGATGTGCCCGATGGAGGGTGGGCCACACCACAGGGGACACATGGCCTAGGGGGCCCACAGATTCTCACCCAGTGGAAAGGACAGTGAACACTATCTGAGGGAAAAGACACAGGTTCCCTTGAAGGGGTCTGTCCTCACCCCATCCCGCCAGCCCAGCAGGGACAGCTCTGTGCCCACCCTGATGCTGGGGCTGAGTGCCCAGGTCACCGTGGTGTCCAGGTGAGACCAGGCTCCAGGGACCTGAGCCAGGTGTGAAGGCAGAGAGATGTGTGTGCAGAGGGAAGAGGAAACCAGAGGGCTTGGGGGTCAGGAGGGGGCAGGGGAGCCTGTGGACGGAGGACACAGCTGGGGACAGGGTCCAGGGACCTGGGGCAAACCTGAGGGCAGAGCAGAGACCTCCTCACCTGTCACCACCTGCTCCAGGGGCTCACTGGGCTCAGACCAGTGATCACCTTTTCGATAGAGGCACTGATAATGCTGGGCAGTGTCTCCATTCACAGCGGTGATGCCGAATCTGGCCTCTGTCTGGTTTGGACCAATTTGAAACACAGTTTTCTCATCCTTGAAGTCACTCCTATCTTCCTTCCTCTCCAGACGGAATTCCTCAGCCCCAGCAGGGCCCCTGCACACAATGGTCACAGGCCACCCCTGGGGGCTTACAGAGTCGGGCTCAGCCCTGGTGGAGCGACTGGGCAGGGTCCCTGGGATGGGTAAGAGCAGAGTCTCAGCATCCATTACGTGAAAATCGTCACATCACATAATTCACTCATTTTTGTTGCTCAATTCAGTACTTTTTTTTTTTTAAACTTGCAAAGTTGTGCAACCATCACCACAATACAATTTTTTTTTGGCTGCACTGCATGTGGGATCTTCGTTCCCCAACCATGGATCAAACCCACACCCCCTGCATTGGAAGCATTCAGTCTTGACCACTGGAACACCAGGGAAGTCCCACAATCCAATTTTAGACCATTTCCATCATCCTCCCCCAAAAGACCCCCCCATGTCCATTCTATGAGCATATAAATTCCCATCACTGCGGAGTGATTTTCCCCACTTGACTTAAGGACCCTGAGACTTGGTCACGTCTTGCTCAGGGTGACATGGGAGGTGTCAGAGCAGGCTGGGCCCCCAGGCATGTCTGCTGCAGGGGGCGGCTCCCTCCCTGCCCACGGCCACTCTAGGGGGACAGATAGCTGGGAGGGTGGCGCAGGATGGGAATGATCGGGTCATTCCTGGGACAAGGAAAGCAGGGGTCTCAGTCGGTAGGAATGATCTGGGCTGGTCTGAAGGGCAGCTGCCAGTCCCAGGTGGGATTGTGTGGGGTGAGGGACGCAGTCTGCAGAGCGGCAGTGGAAGAGTGTGTGTGTGTGTGTGTGTGTGTGTGTGTGTGTGTGTGTGTGTGTGTGTGTGTGTGTGTGTGTGGGAGCTGGAGCACAGATCTGATCCCACATTCCCCAGCAGGCGAGGAT